TGTTTGCAAAACTTGCATTTGTATTTCTCTTTAGCAAAAGGGGAAGGGGGTCGTGTGTGTGTGCGTGCGTGCGTGCGTGCGTGTGTGCGTGTGTGTGTGTGTGTGTGTGTGTGTGTGTGAGAGACTCTCTCTCTCTCTCTCTCTCTCTCTGTGTGTGTGTGTGTGTGTGTGACGAAAGCACCAAATGTTCACCAGGCTTAATCCCTTGCTTGTATAACAATCCTGTGATCTTGTGTTCACATTGAATATTTACATTGATTTATTATGTATTTTGGGTTGCCAGAATCAGACCAGTGCTTTTAGGTTTTACCAAAGTGGTTCACATCTGAGTCTTGCATCATTTCCTGACTTTTTATCATTAGTGTGGTAAACATATAGAAGACTTTGGTCATTTCAGAATGTATGTCACTCCCTTACACCCGATCTCACTCACATCAGTGGAGAGGCTGTGTTATTAATAAGTGACAAGTCTGATAGAGAGATGTCTAATTTCAATGGATTATAATGGAGTTCTTTTCCTTTCTTCAACCCAGGTTGTTCAGTTTCACATTACGACATGTCCAACTCCTCCAACATTGCAGTCGGAGACAGCGGACACCGAGGCTGTATATCACAAGGTGGGATGGATCTAGATAACTACCTGATGTTTTTAAGTGACCAAATGTATAAACGACGTGCTCTTTGTTCTCAAGTTGTTCGATCAAGGTTACAACATCCATCTAAGTTCAGTAAAGTTTCAAAATGTTTTATGGTAGATATGAAGAGAACATTTCAAATGTCTGTTGCATAAATAAGCTGCTAAAAATAACCCACTGTATATAAATGACCCACTGTATTTAAATGACCCGCTGTATATAAATGACCCGCTGTATATAAATGACCCACTGTATTAAATGACCCGCTGTATATAAATGACCCGCTGTATATAAATGACCCACTGTATTAAATGACCCCCATACATAAATGACCCACTGTACTAAATGACCTGCTGTATATAAATGACCCGCTGAATATAAATGACCCACTGTATATAAATGACCAGCTGTATATAAATGATCCACTGTATTAAATGACCCCCGTACATAAATGACCTACTGTATTAAATGACCCGTTGCATATAAATGACCAGCTGTATATAAAAGACCCGCTGTATATAAATGACCCGCTGTACATAAATGACCCGCTGTATAGAAATGACCCGCTGTATATAAATGACCTGCTGTACATTAAATGACCCACCGTACATAAATGACAAGCTGTATATAAATGACATGTTGTACATATATGACCCACTGTACATAAATGACCTGTTGTATATAAATGACCCACTGTATCAATGACCTGTTGGATAAAGACCGCCTGTATATAAATGACATGTTGTACATAAATGACCTGTTGTACATAAAAGACCCACCGTATATAAATGACCCGCTGTATATAAATGACCTGTTGTACATAAATGACCTGCTGTATATAAATGAACCACCGTATAAATTACCCACTGTATCAATGGTTAATTCAGCTGTATAATTGACCTGCCTTATAAATGATCCGCTGTATAACTGACCTAGCTTATAAAGGACTCGCTGTATAAATGACCTGCTGTATAATTGAACTGGTGCATATATAACTGACCTGCCTTATAAATGACCTGCTGAATAATTGACCTGCCTTGTACACGACCCTCTGTATAATTGACCTGCCTTATAAATGATCCCCTGTATAACTGACCTACTTTATACATGACCACCTGTATAATTGAACTGGTGCATTTATAACTGACCTGGCTTATAAATGACCTGCTGAATAATTGACCTGCCTTATACATGACCCTCTGTATAATTGACCTGCCTTATAAATGACCCACTGTATAACTGACCTACTTTATACATGACCACCTGTATAATTGACCTGCCTTTTATATGACCGCCGTATAATTGACCTGCCACAGCAATGGCCAAATGTATGTAAATGAGCTTCAGTGGATCTTCCATGCTGGCCCAATGTTTAGTCATGTTGATTATCTGTAAACATACCGGCAGTAAATAGCATTATCTGTGGTATTCAGAATTATATTGAATTCAGAATGGTCCAAAATTTCTCAAACTTTGAATTTCATTTTAAATTTTATGTTTGTCCTCATTTCCTCCAGAGAGTCTCAGCATAAGGATCAACCAGCTCAGTAATATGTTTGTGCAAACCCGTGCTCTTCACAAAGCAGAAGAACTTCTGAAGAGGCACAGCCATGTTGCAATCTGTGGAGCCCCTGGAGATGGGAAGACTACTGCTGCTCTCAGGATCTGTGAGACGTATATGAAGAAAAACTATCAAGTATTGTTTGTTGAAAATATTGAAGAGTTTGACATTGATGTCGTCATTAAGCGAAAGTGTGACATGTTGGTTGTGTTTGATGATATCTTTGGTTCTGTTGTATTTCCCAGCAGTTTGGAGAAATTACGTAAAGTGTTCAATGCCTTGGTTGATATTTTACTTCTCTTATTAAGAGACGAGGAGCTAGCAGCCGAGGAAGAAAGAAAGAGGAAAGTGAACAAAGGTATGAAGAAGGAAGATGAGAAGCAATGTGATAACGAAACGACAAAAAAATACAAGCTTCGCTTCATTTTCACATCCAGGAACTACAACTGGAATGAGGGTTGTGCAAGACTACATCAGTTCAAAGTAAATTTGTTTAAACCTGAAACCATTGTTGATATGATCAAGACATGTTTAAGCACTGAAGAAAAGAAACAGATCATGACATTGTTCAGGACCAGAAGCCAAATCGATATCTCCGATAAGGACATGAAAACTATTACAGAATTAAAAGACAGCATGTTTGGATATCCTTTGACCTGTAAACTGTACTTCACCAACCCAGTGTTCCAGATGCACAGTCTTGGGGACTTTTTCTTGAAACCAGTGATATACCTGAGAGGTGACCTTGACACCATTGTCCGTGAAGGCAGCAGCAGATCGGCTGCTCTGATTCTCCTGGTCCTGTGTGAAGGGAAAATGGACCTTGCCTCCTTGATGTGTGGGACGGACAAGCAGGTCACAGATCTGTTTCATGTTGTAAAGGAAAAGGTAGCATCATGCACTGATACAGACATAGAGAGAGAGATAAGCAATTTTACCGGCACTTACTGTGTCGTGGAGAATCATGTAGCCTCCTTTTCACATCCAGTTATCCATGATGCTGCAGCATGTGCTTTTGGGAATCTCAACAGTGTTCTATTAGTAAAACACTGTTCCCTTCAGTTTTTGTATGAAAGAGTTAGACCAAGTTTGACTGATGAGCGACAGACAACCCAAGCTGATGATGTGACAAACATGATCTACATCACTTCTCGTCTTTACCCATTGATGATCGACAGGCTAGTGGAAGGTATCCGTGAAGATTGCTTCAGATGGACAGTAGGCCACCCTGTATTCAGAAACGATGAATTAGCATCCTCACTGATGACGGAACTGAAAAATGACTTGCCTCAAATAGTCCACCGAAAGGACAACACATCTGGTGAATGTTTTCTATACTGGACTTCCCTGTCTAATAATGATTTACTGTTTAGACAGTCATTATTACTGATGAGTAAAAAGGAAAATCTCTCCCCTGAAAATGTCAAAGACCTGTATGAGAGTATCACAGGGTGCATAAAGGCTGGCAAGGTGGGGAACCTGCGACGTATAATTGATGTGCTAAAGCATCATGGAGAATATCATGCAGACCAAAGGACGGCGGCAGACAAAACACTGCTCATAATTGCTGCAGAGGCTGGACAGTTGGATGTGTTCAACTTTTTACTGCAAGAAGGAGCAAATGTTTTATTGAAAGACAGGGAAGGAAACAGTTGCCTTCATCATGCGTGTATTTCAGGAAAAAGAGATATTGTGAAAGTTGTTGAAAAGTTTCCAGATATGATTGATGTTCAGAATGATCGGGGTTTTACATCTACAATGTTGTGTGCTGAGACAGGCCAGGAGGAGATCCTCAAGTTCCTGGTGTCACATGGTGCTGATATATCTGTTAAGACATTTGGGGGTCAGACGTGTTTGCATTGGGCATGTGCGAGTGGTCATTTATAAACCGTACAATATTTGTTGTCTTGTGAAACTATCGACATTAATGAAAGAACATTATCAAACACAACGCCGATTATGATGGCTACTGAAAAGGGACACTCTGATGTTTATCACCTTCTTGTGTCAGAGGGAGCTGATGTGTCACTTACTGATGATATCGAGAGACTGTCTGATGTATGCATGTGAGGGAGGTAACATGTCTATAGTTAGGCATCTAATAACTTTGAAAACAATCAACATCAACGAGAGAGATCACGACAACATGACACCAGTCACGATAGCAGCGAAAGCCGGACACTCTGATGTTTATCACCTTCTTGTGTCAGAGGGAGCTGATGTGTCACTTACTGATGACAAGGGCAGAGACCGTCTAATGTATGCATGTGAGGGAGGTAACATGTCTATAGTTAGGCACCTACTATCTTTGAAAACATTCAACATCAACGAGAGAGATCACGACAACATGACACCAGTCACGATAGCAGCGAAAGCCGGACACTCTGATGTTTATCACCTTCTTGTGTCAGAAGGAGCTGATTTGTCACTTACTAATGAGAAGGGCATAGATTGTCTGATGTATGCATGTAAGAGCGGTAACATGTCTATAGTGAGACACCTACTATCTTTGGACAAAATCAACATCAACAGGAGAGATCACGACAACATGACACCCGCCATGATAGCAGCTAAAGCTAGACTCTCTGATCTTTATCACCTTCTTGTGTCAGGGGGAGCTGATATGTCACTTACTGATAACAGGGGTAGAGATTGCCTGATGTATGCATGTGAGACAGGTAACATGTCTATAGTTAGGCACCTACTATCTTTGGAAACAATCAACATCAATGAGAGAGATCACGACAGCATAACACCAGTCACGATAGCAGCTAAATCCGGACACTCTGATGTTTTTCACCTTCTTGTGTCAGAGGGGGCTGATGTGTCACTTACAGATAACAGGGGAAGAGATTGCCTGATGTATGCATGTGAGAGAGGTAACATGTCTATAGTTAGGCATCTACTATCTTTGGACAAAATCAACATCAACAGGAGAGATCACGACAACATGACACCCGCCACGATTGTAGCTAAAGCCGGACACTCTGATCTTTATCACCTTGTTGTGTCAGAGGGAGCTGATGTGTTTCTTACTGATGAGATGGGCAGAGACTGTCTCATGTATGCATGTGAGCTAGGTACCATGTCTATAGTGAGACACCTACTATCTTTGGACAAAATCAACGTCAACAGGAGATATCATGACAACATGACACCAGTCACGATAGCAGCGAAAGCCGGACACTCTGATGTTTATCACCTTCTTGTGTCAGAGGGAGCTGACCTGTCACTTACTGATGATATCGACAGAGACTGTCTGATGCATGCATGTGAGGGAGGTAACATGTTCACATGGCTTTTAGGAACCTCAGATAAGGTGTCTATAGTTAGACACCTACTATCTTTGGACAAAATTAACATCAACAGGAGAGATCATATCAACATGACACCTGTCATTATAGCAGCTAAAGCCGGACACTCTGATCTTTATCACCTTCTTGTGTCAGAGGGAGCTGATGTTTTACTTACTGATGAGATGGGCAGAGACTGTCTCATGTATGCATGTGAGCTAGGTACCATGTCTATAGTTAGACACCTACTATCTTTGAAAACAATCAACATCAACAGGAGAGATCATAACAACATGACACCAGTCATTATAGCAGTTGAAGCTGGACACTCTGATGTTTATCACCTTCTTGTATCAGAGGGAGCTGATCTGTCAATTACAGATAACCAGGGCAGAGACTGTCTGATGTATGCATGTGAGGGAGGTAACATGTTTACATGGCTTTTAGGAACCTCAGATAAGGTGTCTATAGTTAGACACCTACTATCTTTGGACAAAATCAACATCAACAGGAGAGATCATATCAACATGACACCAGTGATTACAGCAGTTCAAGCTGGACGCTCTGATTTTTATCACCTTCTTGTGTCAGAGGGAGCTGATGTGTCACTTACTGATAACAGGGGCAGAGACTGTCTGATGTATGCATGTGAGAGAGGTAACATGTCTATAGTTAGGCACCTACTATCTTTGAAAACAATCAACATCAACAGGAGAGATCACGACAACATGACACCAGTCACGATAGCAGCAAAAGCCGGACACTCTGATGTTTATCACCTTCTTGTGTCAGAGGGGGCTGATGTGTCACTTTCTGATAACAGGGGTAGAGACTGTCTGATGTATGCATGTGAGAGAGGTACCATGTCTATAGTTAGGCACCTACTATCTTTGAAAACAATCAACATCAACGAGAGAGATCACGACAACATGACACCCGCCATGATAGTAGTTGAAGACGGACATTCTGATGTTTATCACCTTCTTGTGTCAGAGGGAGCTGATGTGTCACTTACAGATAACCAGGGCAGAGACTGTCTGATGTATGCATGTGAGGGAGGTACCATGTCTATAGTTAGGCACCTACTATCTTTGAAAACATTCAACATCAACAGGAGAGATCACGACAACATGACACCCGCCATGATAGCAGTTGAAGCCGGACACTCTGATGTTTATCACCTTCTTGTGTCAGTTTGAGCTGATGTGTCGCTTAGTGAAAACAAGGGCAGAGACTGCCGAAATGTAATGTATTGTACGAGATGTTTTGAACAGGTAACTTTGTCTTCACAGACAATAATCTCCAAAGGAATCGACATTGAACGGTGAAATTGAAATTATCAATGTATTCGTGTCTCATATTAAATTAACTAAAAATCTTATATATTTTATTAACATGTATGCAATTGTTTGTGCACACTTCAGAAATTGAGGATCACAATTCAACTGTATTCTCTCTTTCAGAAATGTCCAGACTAGGAAATACTCAAAACACGATTTTCAGTTTTCATATTTGTGTAATAAGCCGTTTGTTGTGTCCGTCCGTACATTTTGATAATGTAACTATTTGTAGCCAGAGTTTACACAATGATGTGGACAATTCCAGTAATTCTCCAGTGAACCAATCATAAGTTGAATGGCACCTACCCCAAACAATTTGTCTAGAATATTCGGTGATTTAGTGTAAGTCCTTCATGTATGTGAAAAGTGAGTGAGTGAGAATGATTCATTATTGCTTAACCTCACGTTTGTTCCAATATATTTTAAGTGTTATGTCTCTTTGAGATCGTTGTAGGTTTATTTGTAGTGATTGTTGGAGGCAGGAAAAAACTGAAACGGTCGTGAAATATTGAGCGTTGTTACTGAGTGGCCAATCTTCACCACAGGTGTGATTTGGAGTTACCTCCCCTGTCATAGAAGATTTGATCATTCCAGAAGTTTTTTTATGTGTCTGTTCGAAGATGGTGGGCTGTATAAGAGGGACAGGATGGCGATGTGAGGCTTTTAATGATCTGAATGATCTCTTTGCAAAGGGAGAGACAAGTTACCTATCTGAACAGCTCAAATACCTAACAGTTTCAAGGAACACTTCATTTCCAGCAGCAGAGTATGGGGAAGCCGTGGAGGCTGAGCAGGTTAGGCGGCTGACTTTGTGTGCTGGCCATAAAGTGCCTGGCTCTGGGGGTGTGAGTTCGAATCCCGGATGGGACTGAACCCAGCAAAAGTACTAGAATCTGTACTTTACTGAGAAAGTGTTTTCCCAAATATGACAAATGTTACATTTGAAAACTTTCTAAATGTGTGCAGGTATCATGGCACCTGTTAGATATTGCTGCGTTCACTAATTTGAACCATTTGTATTGCCTTACTTGCTTCAATATATTATTTTCATTTTTCCTTGATCATGTTCAGTTTAGTTATGTGATTTCAGAGATAACCGACTGTAGTAAAACAATACAGAACCCAACATGTTAATGTTTTACAATGACAGTTGTTGTCCATACGTGTTGTACAAGTTGCTGTTTTCCCTATTTATACTTGTCTTGGGAAACCTGCTAATTTTTTATTTTATTTTCATTCATGAAACCTGTGTAAACTAGCTTGTTGTATTGTCGGAATCATACAATGTACAGTTAAGTATATAGTTATCATGTTGATGGGAAAGGTTTTAGTGTATATTATTATTGGTTATGTTATTGAATTTAACAGTATTTTAGATCATTCTAACCGTCATGGTCATAGTTCTGACAAGCATCAGCATGGGCAGAGACAGACCAACAGGGAAAACGTACTTACAAACATGGCCAGAGTACTGACGAACACGTTCAGAGTACTGACAAACACGGGCACAGTACTCACGAACATGGGCACAGTACTGACAAACATGGGCACAGTACTGACGAGCACGGGCACAGTCCTGACAAACATGGGCACAGTACTGACGAACACGGGCACGGTACTGACGAACACAGGCACGGTACTGAAGAACACAGGCACGGTACTGACGAACACAGGCACGGTACTGAAGAACACGGGCACGGTACTGACGAACACAGGCACGGTACTGAAGAACACGGGCACAGTAGTACTGTACTGACCACTGAGCATGGCACGAACCAACATAGGCACGGTACTGACAAACATGACCACGATTGCACCGATAAACATGGACAGATTGTGTGTTTGTGTGTACTTTTTGCATGTATTTTACATATGTTTATGCATATAATGTTGTAATGGGATAATGTATTCAGATGAGAAGCACGGCCATGGTACTGACAATCGTGAGCACGGCACGAATCAACATGGGCGGGTACTGACAAACATGACCACCATTGTACCAATGAACATGGACAGATTCTGTGTTTGTGTGTTTACTTTTTGTATTTTACATAAGTTTATGTATATAATGCTGTAATGAGATCATGTATTCAGATGAGAAGCACAGCCATGGTACTGACAATAGCTAGCACAGCACTAACAAACATGGGCGGGTACTGACAAACATGACCACCATTGTACCAATGAACATGGACAGATTCTGTGTTTACTTTTTTGTAATTTACATAAGTTTATGTATATAATGCTGTAATGAGATAATGTATTCAGATGAGAAGCACAGCCATGGTACTGACAATAGCGATCACAGCACTAACCAACATGGGCGGGTACTGACAAACATGACCACCATTGTACCAATGAACATGGACAGATTCTGATGTTCATAAGGACAGTGCTGACTGACATGGGAACAGGGGCAGATACTATGTTCATAAGGATAGTGTTGACCGACATGGTGACATGGACAGATTTTGAGATTACTAAACGAGTGTCTGTCAGATATCATTTATCTTGACAGACACGAGTTGTTTCCAAAATCGCACCATTTTATGGTCGAGCAAATTTCCCATTTTCTCATCGTAGCTGTGCAATATCCCATACAACGTTTATGAAAGACTGACGTCACTTGGCGTCTCAATCACTGCTCATCCCCAAGGTGACCCTCCACAAAAAAGTTTCTGCCACATTTTCGCGTCATCAAGGCAGTAGTGATAATGCAAAGTAGATAAGATCACAGAAAATTAATTAAACATTCTAAAACGATGATGTGACCATGAAAATGTGTACAATTTAAATTCTTGCAAGCAAAAAATATTTGAGCGTGTGACGTTATCGTCATCGTTTTGTGGTTGTCGTCATCGGAAGATTGTTTTGGATATGTCTGCACATTGTCATTGGGGATCTGTACTTGTGTACAGGTTTACGTTCAATGTTCTCCCATCGAATCGGAGCCAAAACTATTGAGTGTGTGTCAGTAGGTGTAACCCCTGTGCTTGAATATGACATGACTGCTGATGTTACGTTCACTATCGATGGGGGACTACTCTTCTTCACCACATCCTTCTCGTTTTCCCGAGCCAGAAACTGCCACTTGGAATGTAACGGAATTTACGGAGTTGTCAGTATGAAATATGAGTTGATTACATCCTGTATGTTATGAAGACTTGAACTTTGCATTATCATGCGTCGGAGGAATATCTTAAGCAATGACTTATATGTAGATAAACCGTTCCTGAACATGTTGGACTGAATAGAGAGGACGTGTGCCACGATTTGCCCTCATGAACCCTTGCAAAATGTTGTACATTGTTTCAACGAGCGTGTTTTGGTTCTGATTGTCATGAGTGAATGTGATAACATTAGAATCACATAGTAGCCCGGAGCTGGAAGTGGGTTTTCATCGTGTTTATCAATGAAATATGTCATCTTTATCAACTGATCAAAGAAACGAGGCAAATCGATCTCAAAATGGACAGGCACTGACGTTATCGTGTCAGGTAATTTTTGCAAGAGGATACATGACTTGTCGTATCTCTCCAGTAAAAGTACCAATGTTGTACATTTTGAATATACTGTTCTAGAGTAACAATGTGAACTATGTTTTATACAATTTTATACATTTTTATACTGTTTCAAATAAATACAATTCATACATTTCATATCTGTGTATATTAAATGCTATTTTATAAAAGTCACTTGTTACATGGATATCTGGCAAAGGTAAACACACCCTATAAACATAAATTATATCCCATCACTTCTCTCGGTGTGTCAAAGCAACTACCACGGCGTAAGCAGCTTGTTAACGTATCCTCCGGCCATCACTTCCATGTCAGTATCCCATTATCTTCCGGCCAAGCTAGTGAGATCACTGCTCACTTCATTGTTGTTGTTTTCTTAAATTACCTTTGCCAGTCTCTGTGACGATGCACATGCCTACAGCGTAAATATGCCATACTACTGTATTGTTTCAATTTTGCTGATACCTAAAGGTCATTGTGAAACATTGCCGCGGGTCTTACCCCAACAGGTTTGACTGCATGTTCCTTGCATATAAATACTGCGGTAGCATCCGCATAGGTTCACTCTTGAACTGCAGTCACACTTGTTGGTCATATTTTGTTATTGTTTAGGTAAGACCTTGCATTATATTTTTCATGTGTTACTTGACTTGCATTTAATGTATGAAAGGTTACTAAATGGATTTTAACTTATATGTAACGTCTATGCAACAAGCATACTTAATAAGTTATATTTTGACATTGCAGAATAAGTTATAATCAGAAATACTAGACTTTGACATGTATATGTAACTTGCTATTTCATAATATCATTTAGGTAGTTCTGTTTATGTAATTGTAATATACCTCAGGTATAAATGTAATCTATAACCATGTTGTCAATTTCTCAAATATGTGTTTGATTATGACCGACCGAGTTTGTTTTTACGCCGCTTTTAGCAATATTCCAGCAACATCGCGGCGGGGGACACCAGAAATGGGGTTCACACATTGTACCCATGTGGGGAATCGAGCCCGGGTCTTCGGCGTGACGAGCCAACGCTTTATCCACTTGGCTAGCCCACCGCCCCGTTTGATTATGAATATATACTAACGTCATTATTCTTGTCTTTACAATAAACACTCTTGAACTGCAGTCAGACTTGTTGGTCATATTTTGTTATTGTTTAGATTTAGATAACTTGTGAGATACAGGGAAACGGCCCGATCTCAATTCGAAGGGAATCCCGGTCTTTATCTCTAACGGCGATTTTCACACAATTGTTTTAATACACAGGTTTCACTGATTGTTCGAGAGATTTTGAATTCATGACTAGAAATAAAAAGTTTTAATAAAAGGAATTAGAAAATAAATAGATTTGTGTTATATTTCTTACAAATTCTGTTTCATTGTATAAAGGGTTTTTTTTGCACGAGTAACAGGTTTCTGTTCGATTGAAGCATGCGTAACTTATCAATGAATTATAATCAGGAAAGTAGTCCGTCATAACCTGACCCTAAGTCATCACCATGGAGTAGCCAATCACGACTGACATGGGAACATGGGCAGATACTGATGTTCATAAGGACAGTGCTGACCGACATGGGCATGGTATGGATCCAGTGATTGAGTATTGATCTATGCATCTGTGATATGTAAAAGTCAGGCCTGATACTGACAATCGTGAGCCTGGCACGAACCAACATGAGCATGTTCATGAGCATGGTAGCTATGAACATGGACAGATACTGACGTTCTTAAGGTCAGTGCTGACCGATACAGTGTTGATGAATACAATGTGGGTGTTTGGGTGTTTACTTTATGTATTTTACATATGTTAATGTATATAATGTTGTAAGCAGATAATGTATTCAGATGAGAAGCACGGCCATGGTACTGACAATCGTGAGCACAGCACGAATGAACATGACCATGGTACCTATGAACGTTAGTATCTCTCCATGTTCATAAGGAGAGTGCTGACCGATACAGACATGGCATGAATCCAGCGATTGAGTATTGATCTAGATACAATTTTGATACGATAACATGTCAGTCAAGTCACAACTTCTGATGCAAATAAATCCTCCATAAAAACTACCATCTTTGTTGTTCATGAACGCCCCTGGATACAAAACATGGGCACAGTATTGACCAACATGGTCTGATCCAGGATCACACAGGATGAGGGAGTCCGGGTGATCACTGAAGAATTTAGAAAGTAGGTCAATCACCAGTCTCTTTAAAATCCTGACAGTTCCAAGTTACTGGTTCATCAAGTTACACCTTAGAAAATGAAAACAAAACAGAGACAGACTTCTTTTGTTGGCTTTTATTCACAACAATCTCATAATAAAACTTACTGACAAGCATTGATGATAAAATATCAGTTACGTGAAATAAGCACCTTCTTTTGACTTCAAAATTAACTGGCATTTTGTGATAATAATTATTTCAGAATGTTAGCAACCTTTATTTGTCTTAAAAAGTATCAAAACAAAGAAAATGAACCTGTTACTTCTAGCAAATTATTGGGTCATCTACCACATTTGACAATGGAGGAAAAGGGTCACCCATCACTGCCAGACTACAAACAGAAAACTGTGGAGATCCAGAGTTAGTGATACAAATGAAAACACACGGTACAACTTGTGAACATCTACAGCAAGATTGAAGTGAGACAAATCATTTGACATTTCCCGGCCCTAAATCAATGCCTTCTTCCTGGTTTGACGTGTTCAACTTGACAAAACAATTAGTTTAATTAAGCGACCTGCATGTCTAGAACTCAGACATATTACCAATAAGCACACATGTTAACAGACAATGTTAAATATACAAGTACGCCAACTTTAGCACATTGGATTAACGTCATGACACTGGAAGAGGTTTGGAGTATCATGACACAATGCATGACATTTTCTAAGATCGTAATTTATGTCAAAACCATGGAAGTAGCGTTACATTACACACAAAAGTGTCATGTCACAACATGACGTAAAGCATGACATTTTGTCACAACACATTATCCAAGGCATCGGACATGTTGACTTAAACATGACTGAATGCACAGAACATCTGATAATGCATCCTCTTTATCACCAAGGGCTTTCAGTAATCCTACACTAAACCTCTTGAGCCATTCCCATGGTCCTTGTTACCCACCCTCGGTTTTCATTGCCATTTTATCAACCAATTTAACCTTGACATTAAGAACAGAGAAAGGGAGGTAACTCATCACCTAGAAACCAAAGCCACCAACTAGTATCATTTGACAGTAAGACATCCTTTCCATCAATTGATTCAGTTTTTCAATACTGAATTTCTCAAGAACTTCAAAATCAAAGGGACTGGCCTCCATGTTAATATTGTCAACCCAACATTGAGGCTGGCTTGTAAGTCACATTCTGTTGGGTATGTTAGAGGTAAAAAATGGCCAAAGGACATCAAGTGGTAGTAATTTGTCCTCATAAGAACCACAGAGTGGATTCAGAGTTAGTGTAGGTTTACGGAAATAAAAGATATATGATTTGGGAGATATAGAGGATGCTAAAAATGTTTCAAGACATTATTCAATGCAATAACACGAGACATGATTAACGGTTAATACAAGGTGATCTATCGTGACACAATGTTGTAACACAGTCCTGTGTAATAATATTCAAACATACAATGCTGTGATGCATCATGTGACCAAATGTACATAACACGCAACATGTAAATCTCCACAACCAGTCAAAGTTCATCATGTGCCAAATGCCACTATGAAGCTCAAATGAAGTACATGTTGAGAAAACCCAAAACGACAGTGATGACAGTTATTACCAATCACGATGTATCTTAGAATTGTCTCCCGGAGATTTAATTTGTTGTTTACGCTGTCCTCAGCAATATTCTTGCCATATGATGGCCGTCTGTACATAAGAGAATCTGGACCAGACAATCCTGTGATTGACATCACAGGCATCAGTCTGTGTAATAGGACACCATGGAGATTGATATAATGCTACCTTGAACAGAGTTTCACTGAGTGTATGTCTCTACGGAGCCAGAAAGGCACCCGGTACAGATGCTGAACACTTTGTTGAAACTGATGAGCAGATGTGACGCAGACAAAACAAACTTGACAAACTTGATATCTGAACATATCAAGCTGGAACCAGTGTGAGGGGCACTAACTTGGAAATCCTAGGATGTTTTCAGATTCTTCAACAAGGTGAAACCTCTTACTTAAGATACGTAGGGGGAATTCATTGCCAAATGTTTTAACAAGAATATTATTTTCTATGTTGGCGCTAAACTGCCATCATGGGTGGATACAGATAGATTGGTTTGTTCCTTCTTCAACAATCCACATTTTTCAGAGATGTTCACAGTGAAGTGTTGATATTAGTTTGTTCAATAGAAGGACTAATTACACCTGATATCAAAGTAGCCAACACCCCCCACCCCTCCAAAAGAACACCCTCACAACAAAACAACCCCACAGATCAATGGCTCTCTTATTACGCTATACACAATCATAAATAGGATAAAACGAATTATTGTCTACTCATTCTATCATGTTCAACATGCAAACTAGATCTTATCTGCCCTGGGCTTACAACTAACCACTGTGTGCCTTCACTGTCAAAAACGACCTTTGTGAATTCCACAAGCACCACAACATGAAAACAACATTAATTCAAACAGCACCTTATTAAAATCCTGTTTTCTTGGAATTAATGCTGTTTTCTGGTGATAAATGTTTCCACAAATTCTAGTACATCTAAGGTAAAGAAATAAAACATGATAGTTCTCAGTTATCTTTGATGCAAAAATACATTGTATGGTAAAACAAATAGAAAGGTTTGGAAATGGATGGCATCATGTCAAAGGAAATACAAATAACTCATGCTGACTGTCATGACTTGTAGAAAATCTCTACTTCCTTCAAGGATGTCGGTTCCCCTCACAGCGGAAGGGTTGGGACAATGCAGGGCATGGACTTGGGGATACTCAATCATCAGCAGGACTTGGAGAACCACTCCTCTCTTTTTCGCTTCTTGCAGGGGATGAGGCTCTAGAGGCATCAGACTCACCCCGATCATCTTGCTCACCATTTGTTTGTTCCACCGATTTACTTTTTGAACGACTTCGGGATTTAGAGCGACTTTTAGACTTGCTGACCGATTTTTTTTCAGACCTGGAAACAGAAATGGACCATACCTAATCATGCTGTCAGCATTACCTTGTCTCTGTCCAAATAGTGGAAACTACAGCCAAAATGACAGATACACACAAGACAAGACCTTCCTGACAATCTATGCTACTTCCCCAACCCAAGACTACTTTATGCTGAACGTGACCATCAACCCCTGGATGCTGAGGGTGTTTTTAACATACATCTTTACAAAGATACTGGATCTACATACGGCTGTAATAATTACATTGAGGTGTAGAATATTACATTTCCTATCCAGTGGTGTAAAATAGAAAACAAATATGGATGTGGTTTGAAAAACAGACACTGTTAAGCAGCGTTCACACGCCAAACTAAAATTTGACAACACATGTTGAAATTTCAAAAGTTGTCTAAGTTGCGTTTTCACACGTCAAACACATCTTGTCAAACTTTCGTGTCATTTGAGCGCCATGTTTCTATCGGTGCGGTCACGTGACAATTTCGTTCACTGTGATTGCTTGTTTCTAAACAACACGAGTTTGACAACACTTCACACTCGAGTTTGACAACACCGAAAGTTTGATGGAAAAGTTGGTGAGAATAGAGACCGATCCTACTTCTCAACAACAATTTAACAACTTTGAAATTGGTGTTGGTGGCGAGTTGTTGGAATGTTCACACTCTCAAACTCGAGTTTGACAACATTTGCCGTGTGAAGGCCGCTTTAAAAGTCTTCGGAAAATGTGTTATGCATTACAAACAAATGATTTCACTGCTTTACATCGTACACCAATACAAGCACAATGTTTTAACTTGGTATCTTTCCTGATACCTGAACATCATAAGGTTATACATTAAATATATACTTAACAGCAAAAGAAACGCAAGTCTGGCATTTAGCCACCTTGAGCTTGCACACAGGCCGTGCCGCGTTGAGTTCACTAGAGTCTTAAAGAATGCATGAGGCTATTGGTTCCGCTCAAACACCAATCTTTATTCCAATTGCGCAAGTGTGAGTGGCTTTCTACCTGCAGCAATCCTCCGTCCCAATTTTGTCCCAGAAAGGTCAATGGGAGCCATTTCCGGGGAAAGAGACGACCATGGAATAACGTAAATGTTGTTCTGAGCCAGACAATCCATCGACACCCTCGCTGTGTGAGGGCTGCAAACGTCACTGGCGTTGATGTGCAAAATTTGGCCGCACATTTGGCTTTTGGCAGTAGATTCTAGCAGCCCGAAGACGACACCTAATCGAATCGCTTGGCACTGCTCCCCTTGACCCTAGAACTATGGATGCTGTTACTGTTGCTGCTCGTGTTCGGTTCCTTAGATGAGTGACCCGGATGAACAGATCTTGCGCATGAGTTGTCACTCGTTGCCGTCCGGTACGGGGATGATCAGCAGCAACCCCGGTTTGCTGATGACGTTGAGCAAGTCGTGTAATGGTGGTAAGATGACAGCCCAATTGTCTAGCTACAGCGTTTTCAGAGCTACCTCCGTGCAACTTTCCAATGGCCATTCCCCTCTGCTCAGTCCTTAGTCTAGGCATCGTTTGTGTGGCGTGTACACCACCCAGCGTCAATACTGAACTGTTTTTTGACACAAACCTTTAGAAAGGATACCTCAGAGTGAAATGCATGCTTTTCATCCAGAACCGTCGATGCACGTGCTAAAATTATGGTTCTGCTGCACTGTTGTTGTGTTTGTGCGAATGGTTCGTATGGACGTCAAATTGCATGACATCATCTCATCTGTGATCATTACGTCACTTTACCATGAACGTTCAATAAACATGAACGCTTAGCTTCATGAGCTTTCATTTTTTCGAATCTTGCGTTTCTTCATTCTCTTCCCACAGAGGTTACTCCTGTCATATCTTCCTACGTAACCTCTGTTCTAATACGGCCATATTTCCCGGTTCTCGTAAAATCCCCTAGCGGCAAAAGATCGCAACACGAATTATCTCCCTTCTTTCTATCCAATCAGAACACGTGTTACATCGACTTAGATTCAACTTGACTAACACAAGCAAATGTGAGGCCACAAATATCCTCCATCTACCGGGGACGTGTGTTGATGTTACACACAAGACGTTTAATGGCTAGCTTGTTCGTTTTCAACGTGGGCGATGGAGACACCACTGATCCACCATAACATGACTGAGTTTTGTCTAGAAGAAACGTTTGCGCATCGCGCAGGGGAAGAGGTTTAGTTTTCTCGAAGTATACGGAAATTACCGTGGCCTTGCGAATGATCACTTTTGAAACAACTAAATCTGATTACCTCCAATCACGAGTCTTGAACGCTCACACCATGAAAGGGTCGTATTAGAACAGAGGTTACGTAGGAAGATATGACAAGTAACCTCTGTGGGAAGAGAATGGCGTTTCTTTTGCTGTTCAGTATATTATGAAAAGCCCGCCACAACTGAGGAAACTTGATTTCCCCCTAGGGCATCAAACAATGTCATAAAGAAAAAGCAGAACAACTCTGCTATGTATAAGATGCTTCTTTCAAAACCAGCAGTTTATATGTCATGAGACACATTCTAACTCAGAAGCCTCATGATGTATGATACAGAGTGAGTGAGTTTAGTTTTACGCCGTTTTAGCAATATTCCAGCAATATCATGGCGGGGTCACCACAAATAGGCATCACACATTGTGCCCATGTGGGGAATCGAACCCGGGTCTTCGGCATGACGAGCGAACGCCTTAACCACTAGGCTACCCCACTGCACATGTATGATACAGAGTGTCCTTGTGATGAACACACAGAAAGGAAGATTCCTCACCTGCTTCGAGAACGACTCTGTGATGCTCTCCTCTTCTTGTCCCTGCTACGACTTCTGCTTCTGCTGCTGTGGCGACTACGTTTACTGCGTCTGTCACGGCTTCCTCTTCGGCTTCCTCTTCCTCCTGTTTCGACTCCGACTTCTTCGAGATCGGGATCTAGATCTGGATTGGTAGCTGGAAGGAGAAAAACTGGAGTCAGGTCACCCTCTAAAAGTTTGAATACTCAGATCTCACGAACACAACACCGAGTCACTGACAAGCATGGGTGGTGGAAAACTAATTCTTACCTGCGTCTTAAAAGGGGATTCTTAGCACTACTAGTAGTATCTTAACACTGATAAGTGACACAACAGAGTCCTAGCAACTCAGACTCAAGCCATACCACTACTGGTATAAAAACCCAAAATATCAACCACAGCATATTCTACACAAAGAGGATATTTGGGCTTCATCCCAATGGCATACCAACACAAAAACGCACCAGCTCAATCGTGTCACAGATAAATCCTGTCACAGATGAATTTTGTGATTCCGCTATCATAGAGAAATTCAATAAAATTTAACTAGCAGATATGAAATTGGAGAATTTGCTTTTTCTTAACCAGCAGCCCTTTACTTTTAATTGTTTTTAAGCTTTTACAACTGATTGTTTTTAATAGAATAACCCCAAAATATGTAATTTTCTGAATAAAATTGATATTTTATACTTATCCTGACTCATGTATTATTGCTTGTCTCCCTCCTCTTGCGAACGTTAGCGGAACACTTGTATCTCCTGTTTGAAGCTCCCTTCAAAAAAGCAAACGTAAAATCACTACTCACCACGAGTTGCCTCCCTCGCCGTTTTGGCGGGAAAACGGCGCCACCCGTCTTGCCACGCTTCACTCTGTGCGAATTTCAAGCCCGACACTTACATTTACAGGGAAATCCAAAGTGCTTAGCGGGGAGGTTGGGAGGGCTTACCTCATGAATCAGGATAAGTATAAAATATCAATTTTATTCAGATAATTACATATTTTTCCTTATCCTGACTCATGTATTATTGCTTGTAGAATCCTCCGGATTTGGTGGTGGGTCAAGCCACTTCTGGATTCCAAATGAGTGATTTACGTCTTGCATACCCCCCTATGGGAACTTCTTTAGCACTTCAATTTTACTGCTATACTCTGCTATAACCCTTTACTTCCAGCTTTCTCTGATGGGGGGACCACAATTGTTAACTTTTGGTCCTTTCTTCTGTTAACATTTTAATGTGGATTTCTTCGACTCCATCTCTTGATGCAAGTATCAAGTGGAGACGTGACCCTTCTTATGTACGAGTACGTCCTTACAAGTACTGGGTCTATCACTTATGCTAGTCTGTCTTACACGTGCATATGGACTCTAAAACTGTTACTCTCCTGAGTGTTGGCTTTTGCAAGTCACGTGATAAAAGGGCGAGACTCCGTTTCAGCGCCTCTGTGGAACTGTCAATTGTTGTGCTACAACAAGTGAGCCGAAATGGTGAATACCCGAGACGTCCCCTGTGGCGATGTCTCTCATGTAGTGGTTGGTAAACACCATGTCCGATTTCCAAAAGCAGCCCTCCATGATGGTCATGATAGAGCCAGTGTAGACGCCAGCGCTCTAATTTCATGTGGATTGGATGCTCTTGGAGGATCAAGTCCTGCTGCTTTGTAGGCCCGTAGAATGACAGTTCTCATCCATATAGATATCGTAGTGCGAGAGATCTCTGTCTGTGTCTCTGCCGATATAGGGATGAAACGACCCTTGAATTTTCGTCTCCTGGTCCTGGACCTTTGTAGGTAGACTTTCAATGCTCTGACTGGGCATAAGGATAAGTCCGGTGTATCCTGTGGTCCAAGGACTGTTGATAGTGCTGGGATGTGGAATTGTTTGTCCGGTTGACCTGACAGTTGAGTCTTTGCTATAAAGTCCCATCTCAGTCCCATATGCACTATGTTTCGATTTTCATCAAACGAGTCCTTTCAAAGTCTAGAGCATGTATTTCCGACATCCTTGCTGCTGTTGCTAGGCAAATCAGGAATAGAGATTTCTGTGCTAACAACTCAAAGGATGTCTTCTCTAATGGTTCATAAGCGTCACTGGTGAGATGTCGTAGAACTACGTTGAGGTCCCAAGCCGGAGCTTTAAATCTCTGTTGTTGGTCCTCCAGTTTAAAAGAGTGTAATAAGGCCAGTAACTCTGGTACCTTAGTCAGTTTCACACTCTGCAACATTTTCGGTATGAGGACTGATGGTGGGAACGCATAAGCGTTGAGTCCTTCCCAGGAGATGTTTAGAGCATCTGTTGCCCACGCTTGTGAATCTGGTATTGAAGAGATGAATGTTTCAAACTGATTGTTGAATCTTGTGGCAAACAAGTCTATTAGTGGCGCTCTTATCTCCTGTATGATCTGTTTGAAGATCTCTGGATGTAGCATCCATTCTGTTGGGGATGGCTGAGATGGACGAGGTAGTGCATCTGCTATCACATTCTTGGCCCCTTGGATGTGACATGCTTTTATGTGGATGTTCAGGTCGTCTGTTATGCTGAACAGTTGAAAGCAGAGGTTCAAGAGGTTTGCCCACCTTGTTGATCCTTGTTTGTTTATGTAGAACGCCACTGTGGAGTTGTCCGTGTGTACCGTTAGATGGGCATTCTTCAAAATGCTGGTCAAGTGGAGTATGGCGTTTATCACTGCTTTCATGTCTAGCATGTTGATGTGCAGATCTTTCTCTTGTAATGTTCATTTCCCAGCTGACACTTCGTTGTAGAGGTGTGCTCCCCATCCTTGGAGAGATGCGTCCACATAGAGATGTGTCTTGCACTCGGGCTCTGCTAAGTAGGTGCCGCCGCAAACATTCGATCTCTGAGTCCACCATAGTAGATATGGTTTGAGTCTGTCCGGGATCTCTAAGGGGTTCGGATCGTCTAGATGTGTAATGACGAAGACCTGTAGTGGTCGTAGTTGTAATCTCCCTCTGCGCGTCATGTCCTGAGCTGACGTGAGGAGACCCAATAGGCTCTGCCACTGTCGGAGTGGCCACAGAGAGAGTAGAGCTTGTGATACCATCTGTTGTATCTTTAGCCACCTGTCCTCTGGTACTGTTATGCGGTTCTCTGTTGTGATGAGCCGAACTCCTAGGAACTGTAGGTCCTGTGTGGGCTCTAGTTCCGACTTGAGGAAATTCACCAGCCATCCTAGTTGAGTGAGAAGTCTGATGGTAAAGATCAGCTGTAGTCTGAGATGATTGGGATCTTGATGAGCCTGAATCCCATCGTCTAGGTAGAACGCACTTCGTAAACCTCGATGATGTAGATATGTGACTATGGGCTTCGTCACTCTTGTAAACAACCAGGGGGCGATGATATTCAAAATGGCAGGACTTTCCATTGGTAGTGTCGTCCGTCTAATAGGAATCTAAGATACTTCCTTGATTCCGGATGTATAGGGATGTGCAGATATGCGTCCTGTAAGTCTATGCTGGCAATGTGGTCTAGCGGACAGACGAGATGTAGTAGTTGAGGCAATTGAATCATCTTGAACTTTGCTGGTTTGCGTAGATATTATCTGTTGAATATTTTCATGTTGTAGATGAGTCGGAACTTTTCTTTGGAGTTTTTCTTCGGTACGAGGAAAACTGGGGAGTAGAATCCTGGTGAGATCTTGTCCTGATCTAACACTTCTATAGCGCCTTTCTCTAGTAGAGATGTGTTGGCTTCAAGTAGCCTCTCTGTCTGATGGGTTGCGAAGTTGAACCTCTGAGGTGCGTTTGTCAACAGAGGGGCTGCTTGTAGTTGAATCTGATATCCGTCTCTTAGGATGTTGGATACAAATTGATCTTGAAGAATTCCCCAGTTCTCCCAGTAGCGTTGTAGACGTCCATCCACTTGGGAAGGTTGCACAGGAACGGCTGGGGGTGGAAGACTCCAGTCGTTCCAAACCACTTCTTCATGGTTTAGATCCTCTGGCACCTCTGGGTGCCCTGCCTCGTCCAGGTCGGCCTCTGTAGTTACTGGATGGGCGACGAAATGAGTCCTTAGCTCCTTTAGAGGTAGTCAACTTCTTTTCTCTTGCTTTCTGCATACGTGCAAACTTGGATCTGCTGGAGTAGCGTTGGGACGTCTACCTGATGACACTGGCTAGTGTATAGATGGACTTAATCATCATAACCTCTCTGGATTCTTTCGTGACTTCCTTGGCGACATCCTCAATCTCCCCTGCGAAGATGGATGTAGTGGACCATGGAGCTCTGTAGAGAGTCTTAGTGAGGTATTCACTCCAGTTACAGGAAGACAAAAGTCCTTGTCTTCTGGCGAGTGCCAATGCTGCTGTCATGGATGATAGGTGCTTCGACATAAATTGGTGGTCCTTTTTCTGCATCAGTAGGGCAGAATAGATCATCCGGTCTTCCTCTGCAGTAAGGTTCCTAAACTTGGAGATGAGCGTCTCGTTGATTGCCCTGGATCTGTTAAGTCCGAAGAACATCCTTCTGGTCATAGTGTCTATCTGTGCCAGCTTTTTGTCGTCAATCTTGTAAGATTTGGTCCGAGAGTCGTTGATGATTTTGTAGTTCTCATCTATCTCCTGCGCCTTCACAAAGGGATCCATGTTATGCAGAGAGAACTTCTTAACGTTGAACTGTGAGATGTTAGGAACCTGGAACTTAGTTGCCTTCTTAAATGCTGTATCCAAGTCGTCTGGTACGTCTGATACCCGGTCTATTGGTGGTAGAGTGATGGTGTCAACATCATCGTCCTTCATTAGGTAGGTAAATGCTTGATTTTCATTCCTTCGAGGGTGAAGCTAAGTCCAGTCCATTAGCCATCCAATATTTAATCTCTGAGTCCAAAAAGATGATACCCCCATCGTCGTCTGTATCATTCCCACTGGTATAGGATCGTTGAATATCCTTAGAATATGGAGATTGTCTTGGCGATCTTTGTGGCTATCTACGTGGCGATCTGTGTGGAGATGAGTAAGTTGAACTACGATTAGTTCTAGGAGGCGATCTGTATGGTGACCTTCGCAAAGGTGAGCGTCTTCTATAGCGGGGTTGTCTTCTAAGTGGAGAGTCTCTAGACGATCTGCGT